AAATTCTTTTATTAAAAGTTGTTTGTATGACTTTCCGAACGTTGCGCATGTGTATAAAATCAATATTTTACCAAATCAATAAAATTTAATATTATAACGATCTGATTTTTGTATTTTTTCATTTTTATGCAATTGTTTAAATAAATGTAAATTTGGTTTAACACTTCTGTGCAGTTATGTCTTTGGAGGGGGAAATTTTCAACGTGCCAGTATTGTGGTGAATTTTGAAGAGTATGGTGGAAAAATCATATTCTCCGAGCTTTTAAACATTAATAGACACTTCCATTAATTAATTCACAATTTTTGTAATATACTAATACAATTTATTTATATTACAGCTAAATTTTTCCTTCTATGTCGTCACTGCGCATCTGCGTTCTAATAATTAGATATAAATGAAGATATTTGTCGTACATAATTCATTTTTTAAAGCACACACATGTTTATATACTAAAACTTAAATATAGTTACTTATAATTTTTAAGAGAATACTATATTTTTTGATGGGATTGTACCATCTTCGTTTTAAGTACCTACTAGCGTCCTCTGTTGGTCCCGGTAGTAACTAAAAAGCATCTTGTTACACAAAAAAGGGACTTGTGAGGTTCTATGTACTTTTGTTTTCTTTGCTGAAGATAAAATCTTTTTTAAAATTTAATATAAATTGGCAGTCGTTATAATAGATATTTATTAATAATGAATGTATTTAAAAAATACTTATATATAATTCTATGATTGAATTATTTACTAAAAACTTTATTTTATAATTGTATTAAAATACAAATTAGAATAAAATTGTATGAAACATATAAAAGAAGAGACTAATACCTAATAATTTAACAGATTTCTATATAATGTTTCATATAAAAAGAGATAAATAATGTACGATATAAAAAGTTTCACAAAGCATCATTATATTTTTATTATAATATACTTACATTTACGTATGTATACTTCAACGTTTAGTTTGTATTTCGTACATTTACAATGTATTACATATTAATATATATAATTTACAAACATTCCATGTATAATTCATACGACTGCCAGTCTTTGCCAGTAAATCTAATGAGAACAAAAATCACTCTTCGTAATCTTCAATAATATTTAAATTTGTTTTAACAGTCTTTTCAAAAAACATAATTTATTGAATAAAATCCTATTGTTGTGTCGTATAAAAAAAAGGAATTATTCAAGAGATATGATTTTTGAATTTTCTATAAAACAATCCGCTTAATCGTTATATTATAATAAGTCTTGATTATAACAAGCAGGATTATCTAATAATCAGTTCTGCAAATATACAATAGAACGTATATTATGATTCATTGAATTAATCGATTATCGACGTTGAAATATTCCCTACAACTTGATTTTAACAATATTATAAAATCATGCTATTTGTGAATTAACAAACGTATTTGTTAGGATCATAAGTGTGTGTGTGTGATGATTTTCATTTAAAAATTATAAAAGACTTATTTAATATTCTTTTTACTTACATATCCTCGTCGATCATAAATGACGCACATGTAAAAACGATTAAAACTAAATTTATCTCCCAAAAAAAAACAATAATAATATTAATAATATTAATAATAATAACAATTTTAATAACGAAGATTTTAATTATTAAAATACAAAGTTGTCGTCGTCGTCATTGTCGTAGTCATCGTCGTTGTTGTCTGGTTAGTGTTAAAATGCATGAATAATAAAAAAAAAAATTGCGCATCGCACCGAGTTTTAATATGTTATAAAATCCGATCAAATAGAATAATCGATTTCAATGAATCAATACGCATATGTGTTGCACTGACACGTGCGTTCATAGATAAACAATTTTTTAAGCGTCACTCGATGTTTCTCATCATCAGTAATCTTTTTGCATACGCATGAGTATCTTGTGTCTGCGCGTGTATGTTTCTTTCTTTTCCTTTCAGGTGTAATCTTATTATCAAAGCTCGTAATTATACTAATTTTAAATACAGAGATAAAAAATTGAAATCAATAATGGAAATTAATTTATTCCTGGCTCATTGAATAATCGATTTCAACATGAGCGATTTAACGCTATGGATAAAACAACTGTACACTTCAGTTTGAAAATTTAATTGACAAGTATTAAAAAATGATGTAAAAAGTTGGAGAAAAATCGTTTCGATTTGAAAAAGTTCATCTTATTTTTGTGACTTTTCTATTTTTTCTTCATTTATTTATTTTTTTTTTTTATTTTATTTTGCATTCTCTTTCTTTTCTTTTTTTTTTGTTTTGTTTTGTTTTCATATTGCTTAACGTAGGACCGTAAGTTTTCAGATCGTAAAGAAGGGAAGAAGATAACAGCGAGATTAGTAGTTTCGTTTTCAAACTTGGTGGCACCATTCAAAATTTAGTACAAACTGTACCCTAATTCTTACGTTTAAAATGCGTTCGCTAGAATCTGACAAATAGTACATTATTGTTATAATAATATTACTATTATTATTATTATTATTACTATTATTATTATCTCATTATTACTAGTATATTATTATCACTTCGATTAGAATTCATTATTTTGGCAACGCACGGATTATGCGGAATTTCGATATCTTTTTATCTCTTCATTTTTTAAAGTGTCTTTTCGTTTCGTTATTTCTTTTTCTTTTTTTTTCTTTTTTTTTTTTTTTTTTACATCGTTGCGTTCATCATCGTTATTTATTTATTAATATTATTATTATTATTATTATTATTATTATTATAGTTAACTGACATTAGTTAATCCGCAAATAGTTTACAATTAATTCGCATGTATTTCTTCTTCCATTTTTGCTGGCACATTACATTTCAACGATTGTTTGTTTAAGTATATATCCCGTTTTTCGAACTTTACAAAAATTTTATTATTTTTATGTTATGTATATATTTTACGAAAGTAAGAAAATACGAAAACGACACTAAGGAATTATTATTGTGTGATCGATAAACATAATCGTATTATTTTTAAATTACAAGGATTGCTTATTTTCTTTTTTTATGTTTCTTTTCATTTGTTTGTTTGTATTGGGCGAGGGAAGGGGCCGGGGACGGGATTAATCGGGAGTGATGGCGGTGGTTGTTTGAGGAGAAGTGGGGGGAAGTTAAGTTTACATTAACTATCAATATTTTAGTAAGGTAATAATCGTACAGATGAATTGAGTTTTTTTTTCCTTTTTTTCTTTTTCTTTTCCTTTTTGCAATATTGTATATACGTGTGTAAATTAATTTTTTTTTTAGCTGTTTATTTATGAAAAAAGGTGAGCTTAGTGTGTGTTTGTTTTTTTTTTTCACTTCATGATCTTCATTATAACGATGGATGGTGGTACATCAGTGACGACGGTGTTTGTTTGTTGTTTGTTTGTTTGTTTGTTTGCATGCATATGTGGCTTTAATTGATTCGACGGAGAGGTGCGAATTTGTCATTAGTTTTTTCTTCGCACAACTCTTTTCCCCTTCTTTCTCCCTCTCTCTGCGTAAGGATGGGTCAGGCTTAATCCGTTTTTAGTGGCACTGTTATCCGTTAGCTTTATGTCGAGCATCGGTTTCTTTCTTCCAGTGCTTACGGCTTCCCTGAATTAAAATTGCCTGAAAAATAAAACAAATTTCCATGCATTTTATAAAGAAATTATTCATTCAAAGTGTTCATCATTTATTATATTGCATTAATTTATCTTACCAGAATTAAATAAGTCTTTCCAGTTGAATATTTATTCATCCCCTACAAACACTCCTCTTGGCTTTTTCTGACGCACCTTGCTACCTTTCGTTTAAATTCTGTATAGCTTTCCCGCCATTCTTTCTGTATATGCATATTAATTGAACGATGTAAGATTACTAAGTAAAATCAAACATTGTCGAACATAAATTGGTTATTAGGAAACCATTATTATATAAAAATTATAAATGACAAACTTACGGCAGCATCCACATTAGCAGGACTTTCATCATTTGGATCTGCGAGCATACTAATAACGCTTATGAGAATAGTCTCAACTGTGTGAACTGGCAACCACCGTTCTGATGCTTTCTCATAGCCCCATTTATCATCTCCAGGCTCATGTAAAATCGATATACATACATCACCATTTTTCTCGACTAATGATAAGAAAAACAAAATATATTTACATATTTAATCATTAACATTATAATACATTTTATAAACACCTTGCACACTATGATTTAACATGCCTAGTTGCTAAAGTGTTTCTTATATTTGGCTCGTAAGATTTTCTATGAGTCTCACAGTTCGTTATAGTGCAAGGGCTTTAAACAATAATCTAATGCGTAATACTTACTGTTTGGATGCCAAATTTCCGTTATAAATTTCATTCTTGGTGGCCTAAGTGGATACTCTTTTGGAAATTGTAAATGTGCTTTAAAAAATCCGCCTTCGCTGTTACAATAAAAAATAAGAAATTTACATCAGTAATGATTTAAAATTATTAAGACTTTATCAAATCAATATTATAATTTTTACTTACTACAACGTATCCGGAGGTCCAATAATAAGTACCTCCCATCTATAAATATCATTGTCGTCAATGAGGCCTGCCGAAAACCCTTCTACTGGGTTTTTATTTAACTCTGCAAAAAAATAATCCGTCAAGTATTCTCAAAAGTTTTTTGAGCTCGTAAAAAGAAAAGTAATAAAGATTGTTTAAGAATCATGACGAAGTAAATAATATAGAAAATGATACCGATGAAATTATGATCATTGGGAAACTTGCAATGATTTAGTCTGTCTTTCTACTCCTTCAGAGAAATTGTAAAAACAATCCTAGATGTTAAGATGAATAAAAAAAAATGATTTAAGTATAGAAAGAGAGAGATAGACATAGTAATTGTCATCATGGATGAGAACAGTGATTCAGCATTGGATCTGAAAATTACGAACGAGTCTCTTCTTACAATCTACGAATTCTGAAGTCATGGTAGACAAAGGAAAGTAAAAGAACAAAAAATATAACGAATATATATATACACATGTATATGCATATGTATATGAGAGGATGGGAAAGAGTTGAAAAGATCGTGTTACATGTATGCTGAAAAACATACATGAAGATAAATGTGTAGGTGAAAATCGAAAGGAAAGGATGACCAAAAACAGGATAAATTCAATAAAAAGGAAAGGAAAGGAAAGAAAAGATGCACGAATGGGTCCTGACAAAGACGGTTGACCTTCGTCTTTTTACATGACAGATATATCTTTCTCATTCTGTTATTCTCATATTGGTATTTCTTTTTCTAAAGCGTTACCAAGTGCAAGAACACGAGGTATTTCGTAAAATACATATATGTTTCAAGGAAAAAGCCCGAAACACAGAGCAACATACACATACATATATACATGCATACAACATACATACATAGATAGATAGATAGAAAGAGAAAGAGAGGAGGTAGTTGGGCTATAAATAAAATCTTGCCGGGAAAGAGAGACTGATGATTATTTTTGAAATGTTTTTTCGGTGGGAGAAACAGAAAGAGAGATAAAGAGTGAAAGGGAGATAGAAATAGATAGAAGATAAAGATAAAAGATAGAGATAAAGATTGAGGATGATAAATAGAAAGTGTAGATTGGTTAAGAAAATGTAGTAGTAGTAGTAGTAGTAGTAGTAGTAGTAGTAGTAGTAGTAGTAGTAGTGTAGTAGTCGTAGTAGTAGTAGTAGTAATAATAAAAGAAGACGAAGAAGAAGAAGAAGAAGAGGAAGAAGAAGATGAAGAAAGATAAAAAAAAAAAAGAGAAGGGGAAAAATATAAAAAGAGTCTCTCCCGAAAGGAACACTGACGATTAGCCGATGTCCGGCATCGTGATGTCGTCCTTGTGAGAAACAATAAAAAACAAAAGAAAAAACAAACCAAAAATAGTGAATAAATGTATTAACAGAAAATAATATAATATAAAAGTGAATAAGACACTAGGTGCTAGTAAAAAAATTACGAACGAAAGGATGAAAGGGACTAGGGGGAAAACAAAAGAAAGAGAGGAAGAAAAAAAAAGAAAAAAAGGAAAGTATCCCGGGGATAATTCGATCGTGCGAGGTTAACGTTCCCGTTGGTCCCGTCATTGTCCCGTCATCGTCATCGTCATTGTTGTCCGTCGTTGTCAGAACTTTTTAAGAGTTCATACCCGGAGATCTCTCCTTTTCGCGAGCACGTTATTGATTTTCACGCCCTGATCGCGAGCCGCAATAAAGGGCCGTGTCGAACCTACGTAGGGCTATGCAGCACGAATTCTTTTTATAATTTTTTTTTTCTTTCTTTCTTTCTTTCGTTCTTTTTTTTTTCTTTTCCTTTTTTTTATTCGAAGAGTCCACACACGCGTCCTCCACCTCGTTGTCGTCGTCGTCGTCATAGTTGTAAAGAAAGAGAAAGAACTAAAGAGACAGAAATATTCGTCCGAATATTTTCATGAATATTTTAACAATAGAAAAATATTTAAATATTATTATTATATATTTTTTTCGTCTCTTTTTTTATTGTTTTGTTTTAAATATGAAATATAAAGAGAGAGATATATATATATAGGTATTACTCTCGTGGAATATTTGATAAATATTTTAAAATAATTTTGTAAATTAAAAAAAGGAGAAAAAAATGATTAACCTCATCTTCATCTTCTTTTTTATCTTTATACTCTCTCTCTCTCTCTCTCTTTCTTTTTCTTTCATTCTTTCTTTCTAACTTTCTATCTCTTTTTATCCCTGATCACTCTCTCTCTTTCTCTTTCTCATTCTCTTTCTTTCTCTCCCTTTTTTTGTCCTTCTTTCTCCTTCTTTCTCCTTCTTTTAATATATCTGTCCGTCTCTGTCTAATTCTCGTAATGGTCTCCCTTCCTCTTACATGGGTTTAGTTGCGCACCGACATACACGGCACCATTTAACACTCAAACACATATATATATTGATACCTGCTAATTGTTTTCGTAGTAGAAGCGCGGACTGTGGCTCTGACATTAATAAAAGTTCCGTTAAATAAGACTAAAGCTGAAAACAATTCACTTTTGCTTGACTGGAAAGATGGCTAGGTACGTCGCGGAAGCGATGACTGCGCATGCGCTACAGTCTTTAAACATATGTTCTTCCGTCGTCCTAACATCGTGCGCCGGTAGTTCAGTTACTAGTTGGCTATCGCAGCGACATCACGTGGATCCTTTGGTTTATTAACATTTTACCGCTAAAAGTCCCTATGAATGGAATTCGAATTGAATCTTCTTTACCGATCGACACATTTCTTCCATTGTTTAACACTTTTTTCAAACGGGGACGCTTCTTCCTTTCATAATCTATAGAATTTCATTGATAAATCACAGGTAATAATTTTTTATTCTTACTTTTTATTATCAATTGATTAATTTATCATTCATTAAATTTTTTTTAATTAATATTAGGTGTGCTGTGTTCTTTTAACAATTGTTTTACTATTTTTTAAGATTGAAGAATTAAAAGAATTGTAATATTATAAAATGAATAGGATTATACTTGTAGATATACGATTGGCTTTTGTTTTTTAGATTATTTTATTATCTTATCTTCTTTAGTATCAGAGTATCGACATAACTTTGATTTTTCTATATAAGTAACATAAATATATTCATAATAGTTTGGTAATTGAATTATATTGATTTAATACTATGTTTTTCTGTTGCAGTTACTCGCTCTCCGTTGGACTATATGCAAGATATTCTCATCGCTTAATGCAGGTGCTTGTACTCAGCGTATAGTTGATAGAGGTAGTAAGAAATTATTTATTATTATAAATATAATCCACATGTTTATTACAATTTCAGGTACTGTCTACTTCATACTGTATCATATATTTATTAAAGAATATGCAATTCCTATATCGTTACATATTTCAGATTATTAAAATAGTTCTATCGATATAAATTGAGAACATCAATATAATTAGTTAGTTCTTATTATAAGAATTATATTCATGATATTTAAAACAATTAACATTGTATTGATAATATATAGAATATGCAATTCCCATATCGTTACATATTTCAGACTATCAAAATAGTTCTTTCGATATAAAGTGAGAACATCAATGTAATTAGTTAGTTCTTATCATAAGAATTATATTCATGATATTTAAAACGATTAACATTATATTATTATATAATTGTAGCCGATATAAGAATTTAAGAGAAATGTAATCCGAATAGATTCTGCGAATGGCGTTTAGTGCATCGTTGCATTTTTATGCAGCCGTTAAGCATAAATTGTTATTATTGTATTCTTATGCAACCGTGAAGCATAAGTTGTTAATATTTAGATAATAAAAATACTCTATAGACTTTTTAAATTGATATTTTATGGAAAAAGTTCACTTGAAATATTTATAATAATTTGTTAATATTGTGCTGCAATAAATAAATTTTGTTTTGTATTTACTTTCTATTGTGTGTGGTAATTGTTGACTACTGACTTACTGACTATCACTAAACTAAATTTTAACTTTGCTATAAGCCAGTAAGGTAACCAAACGAGTTTATGCAGTTGATAATAGTAGATACCTATTTTTCTATTTTTTAATACTAATTTGTTTTTTTTTAATCATAATGTAAAAAAATCATACTACGTTCTATTTAAAATTACATTCTCCTATTAGAAATGTAAAATTCTATACAAATTTGATAAAAGGCGTAAAAAAAGGTAGATGAGGATTTTGAATTTAGATTTTAATGATTTCTTTTTTTTATTATCCAGTATAATAAGATACATTGCTTTGACAAACGATTATACAGACGTACAATATTCACCGATTCGTTTATCTCCCATGTATTATTTTTTTTTTTTTTACACAGACGTCTTAATTCCATTGAATTTTACGCCTTGACATTTTTCTAATCTCCTTTTTTACTTATTACTTTTATTTATTTCCTTTCCTTTCTTCCTTCTTTTCACTATTTACAGAAAGTATTATTTATATATATAATTAGGATGTTATTTTAATTTATATTATACACGACATCAAATTGTTGAGGGTTTCTCAAAATTCAAGTTCATTCATTTTTTAATAATATCAATTATTTCTTTAACACATACATTCGTAAGTAAACACACACACACACATACAAACAAGATCTTTCTTTCCTTCGTTTATCTAATTCTCTCTTATTTTCTTTTACTTTTTTTTTTATCACACCTACATTCACATTACTAAGATTTTTTTTTTTTTATTTAAAGATGCACTGTACAATAGATACGTAGCATTGTTTCGAGAAATATTTGATTTGTATTTTATATTAGGCGAAAAAACTTTCGATATAAAATCTCGTCTTTGTAAATAGGTGGTAATGAATATCATTAGAAAAGGTTTATTACGCGAAATACAACGAAGTGTGTCGTCAGAACATTTTATTTATAAATACGTTCTTCAACATTCATACTTTTTCAATTCCAGTGTTTTAATAGGATATCGTGATATGATAAAAAAAGTAAGAAAACAAATACAAATCATTTAAAAAACAAAATTATAGTACAATCAAACTTAAATTCATTATTAAAAAATTAATTAACAACATTAATAGATAATAAGAAAATTAATCAAACGTTTTTCTATTCCTATTTTAGTAATAATTTTCAAAAAACAATATATTGCATTGCAATAATTAACAATTGTATATATAAACAAACTTATACAAATTTCTTAAATAAATTTTTATACATTCTCATGATTTATATTTTATTCAAATAAATTTTCGGATTAAAAAAGAAGATAATAAAAAGAAATATTGAACCAATGATTCGAATAATCGAATCGTCACGGTATTTCGCTTCGCGAAAGATTATTATTATGGTTTTTCAAACACTGTAATACGCAGGTAGCCAGATTCTTCTTCATAAGAGAAAATACAGCATCCGGCGATTGAATAATACGTTTAAAGTTAAACATTGATTCGCTTCTGATAATCAAATGGGATTATTCTATTTGGCGATGCAGAAAATTGCATTCCCATCCGTTTCCGGAAAAATTTATCGAATCGTTAAATATTTCTCTTGTATTTACAATCTGTAACCGCATTTATAGACCATTTATTTTTTTTCCCTTTCCTCCTTCTACCCCCTTCTTTCTCCTTTACACTCTCTCTCTCTCTCTCTTTTTCTCATTTTCATTCTCATTTTTTTTTGTTTAACATTAATATTCTTACACTTAAGAATAATACATTTTAAAAATCATTATTTTTTGATAAGAATGTGAAAATAATTATTTATTATTATTACAATGATTACAAATAGAAAATGATTGAAAGTAATGAGAAAACTTAAATATAAAATTTCAAGAAATAGAAAGAGAGAGAGAGAGAGAGAATGCGACAAAACAATTCCATTAATTTTCATTTGAAAACTAATCAATCAAATGTTTCTTTTATTCTTTTTTATCATTTTTCTTTACTTTCTTAAAAGAAAATAAAGTGTGGTTTGCGTCTATTGTACAAACGAAGGAATAAAATGGTATGTATACAGAAAAAAAATAAGAAGGATAGATAAGAAGAAGATGATGAGAAGGTGGAATAGGAGTAAGAGGTGGAAAGAGGTGGAAGGAGGAGGAGGAGCAGGAGGAGGAGGATGAAAAAAAGCGATGAAAAATCTTGTGACGTTTGGTTTTCATTGGATATTTCTACTGCACAAAATCGTCCTACTAAAGTTTCCAGTTGCCACTGTATATATACCAACTACAACCATGCTCAGCTATGTGTAGAGTACTTTGAACTCAGTTATATTTCCCTAGAGATCGACATGGGAAACCAGCAGAACGTCAGGGTGAAAGACGAGAAAGAGGGAAATTCGAAGAAAGATAGATATAGTAAAAAGAGCTTCTTAAAAAAAAAAAAAAAAAGAAAGAGAGAGAGAGAGAGAGAGGGAAAAATAGATATTCTTGCAATAGAACTTCGAATTGAACCAATGAGATCTGTCTTATATGTCATATAACATACATTCACCTAATTTAAATATATTTTTCCAAGTTTCTCGATTATATACGATAAATCATATTTCAAACTTCATCTCATTTCTAATTACATAGTTATAATAAATAACTATTACTTATATAAAGTGTTATAAATAATTATTAAAATATCAAATTCTTTTTATCAGCATGTAATTAGCTTTACACAATTACGATACATTTTTAATTTCGTATTTACAAAACGTAACTGTTATATTATAAAATTATAAGTATAATATTAAGATTAATTTTTTGTTGTTATCAGTGTTTATAAATCATAGAAGAAAAAATTAATTCTATAATAAAATTTTATCAATTTTATCAATTATTTCAAATAAGAAAAAATCAATTTTAATAACATATATTAGATAAAATAATTCTTATAGTTTTTAGAATTTATAATGATTAATCAATCCATTGATTAAAATCATAAAAACTTTCTTGTTTCCTTAATAAATATCTCTCTTTCTCTCTCTCTCTCTATATATATATTTAAAGTTATATACATTGGAAAATATATTAGAAATAACTAATCAACGTATACGAAAATAGTCCGAAGTAAGTTTAGTCGGTCAAAAGAAAATTTTAGATCGATACAAGTTAACTCATCATTTTCAATAGGATAACCTAAAAAAGGGCTAAAGTTTGTTTTGGCTTCATTCCACGATATCCCTTTCCTTTTCTCATCAACTATTTTCCTTCATTTTCTTTTTCGATTTTCCAAACTAATCTTTCCTCGACCTACCCCTTCCCTCACCCCCTTCTCTCTCTCTTTCTCTCTCATTCTCTTTTCGTGAAGTTCGTAAGACGATGAAGATATTTTTAATTTAGCGACCAGTATCGATTGTCATTAGTCGCTCAATTTCTTTCCTTATTTGTTTTTTTTCTTTTTCATTTTTAATTAATTCGTTTTATTGTTAATTTTACGTATCTAAATTGGAAGGAGGATTTTAGATGTACACCCACATGCATACATACATACACACACGCTCGCGTACACATATATATATATTCACGCGTACTATTTTTTATACATTCAATCATTCTTCATGAATTTTTCCGTCCTTCGATTAAATTTCAATCATAATAATCGATTGATGATGATTCATTTTTCGAACTATTATTTGTTAATATTATATTTTATTCCGATTGATTGAGGATTATATCTTACATCTTATGATATGTTACAAGAAACCAAACGAAAGGAACCCTTTTTTTTCTATTTTTTTTTTTTTCTTCTTTTTTCTTTTTGTTTGTTCTTTATTTCTTTTTTTTTTTCGATTTATTATGCGTTTTGGAATCGGCAAAAAATCGCATGGACTGTAATTTCGTTTGTTCGTCACTCGAAAACTCTTGGCAGACGTTGTCCATTTGTTTTTTTTTTTTATTTTTTCTTTTTAATAATTCTTTCTTTTCCTTTTTCAATGAACAATGAAGACCTTCTTTATTTTTTTCTATCTTTTTTTTTATTTTTTAGCCTTTCGAGCAAAGGGATGATTTTTCTTTTTCTTTTCATTTGTTTTTTTATTTTCCTTTTTTTTTTCTTTCTTTTTTTCTTTTCATATAATCGCGAAATCAATTAATTTTTTTTTAATGAAGATCTAATAATTCTCCTTTCGGATAATAGTTTTTTTTTTTTTTATTAATTCTAAAGGACATCTCGTTTTTTATTTTATTTTCTTATTTTTTTAAAGATGGAGATACCTCTGCCCTATTTCACGATAGGATCGATGATGAATCGTAAATATTGTGAACTTTTTCTTTTGTTGGGGTGGATAGGAGAGAGGGAAGGGTGTATTATTTTTTACAACTAATTTACAGTAATCGCAATCACGCTGTTTTGTGTTCTTTACCCTTTTTCTCTTCGTGTAATATTTTGTTTTTTTATTTTGTTGTATTCTCGTAGATAATCTATAGGGAATATCGATATTTAAACAACGTAGACAATTTATTTTTTTTTCTTCTCGTGTTGTTCTAGGTTTTAACATGTCGCGTGATTTTTTTCTCCCTTTTTTTTTCTTCTTCTTCTTTCTTCACGAAGTTTATCGCGCGTTTAAATTTTAACTTTTTCTGTTTTTTTTTTTTTAATTAAATATTACATACTCTTATATCGTAATATTTATTAATTTGATTTTTTATTATTGACGATCTTTGCGTTCGAATTCTATCTCTTATAATATTTATTATTATTATTATTATTAAAAAATGTTTAATATAAAAGTGTGAAAAAAGTTAATTGTATGAGACAAAAATGAATGAACACATAAATTGGCAGATATTGTTTTAAATAATTAATAATTGTATAGTTTTTTTTTTTTTCTTTTTTAATCATCTCTCGGTTATTATTTTTCTTTTTTCTTTTATTTTCAATTATGTTTCGTAGAATTTGTTGAACGCAAAAATCGATCGTACGTTCATTCGCAAACGAGAACGAACGTTCATTATTATTTCTTTATCCTTATCTTTATCTTTATCTTTCGCATTAAATATATCTAAGAAATATAAAAAATTCTTATCAATAATATCCTATCTAGAGAGATAGGCGTGTAGAAACCTTTTTTCTTTTTTTTATACCCATGCTCGTGCACGTATTCGCAAGAATGAATAAGAAGATTGAATAAACGTCAAATTCGTAATCCGTTTTATCTTCAATATGAAACAGAATAAATATAGATACAAACACTATACAAATTCGTATTATTCGATGAGAACCGTAAAATCGATCAATTCGAGTCGAGGTTTTTTTTTAAAGGGTTCGAGATTTGTTGATTCAGTTTATGAGGTCGTAAAAATTTAACCAGAAACAAACAAATTAATTGGAAACGCAACGAACGATAATTCATTCGAAATGAATTGAACTAACTTATGCGTTTTATAATATATTTGTCAGTTTATGATAAAGAAGAAATGATACTACAAAGTTCAGAAAAATATTTCGTTGCATAATCAGGGGATTGTTAAGTGGAAAATAAAAAAATATACAAAGAAACTGTTTGACAAACTTCGATTTCAAGTGTATTCCTTTTTCATACAAATGCGACAGTCATTGGGGAAAAAAACCACAAAGACACTTTACGGATTATTATCGGAAGTGTAGTTCAAAGAATTTCCTATGGAAACGTTTTTTTTTCTTTTTAATTATTCATTGAATTAGATTATATTTATATTTGTATAAGTAGATATTATTTGAATATTCTCAAGTGTGTGTACTATTTTAATTTGAATAATTTTTTTATTTTTTTTTTCGAATATAAAGAGAATTATTTTCTCTTTAATAAATATCTCTTATTTATTTATTTATTTAAATATAAATATTCATACGTATAAAATAAACGGACTCAAAATCTTACGTTTATTCGATCTTTCATTTATCGATCTCTTACGTGTCCCCATAATATTATTTAAAAACAATATTACGATTTCATTCTTTGAATTTTCAAACTTCAACATAATTTTATTCGAATTCGAATAAATAGATAATAATTAGCGTAATAATTTTTTAAATCTCGATATGAACGAAATTTAACGCGTATCTTTCATTCATCATAACACACGAACGTAAGTATGTATGTATGTATTTATTTATAATTATATAATATAATTGTTTTTTTTTTTTTCGTTTTTTTCTTTTCGGTTTAAATCTCACATTTTTTTTACTTAAATCTATATAGACATTTCTATTTTCACAATCAGAATAAAGAAAAATGTTGTCAGCACCTAAAAACCCATTCCTACCATTCACTACCGACCACCAACACCATCACCACCACCATTATTCTTCTTAGCTTGGAGAAAAAAATCAGGACACACGCATTTCTATTGAAACTAACGTAGTCAGCAGTTTCATACAATTCACTTAGAACGAATGATCGAAATCTAAAGAATCCCGAATCTTCGTAGTATTATTAGCTTTCTTGAAAAATCTTTCATATATTTTCCAAAAGGGGTTTTTCTTTCTCTCTATCTCTCTCTTTCTCTCTCATAGACGTACAAACAATTTTATCTTTCAAATAGAAGAAAGAATAAGAGAAAGAGAGAATAAGAGACAGACAGACAGACAGACAAATTGATTAGTTGTAACTATCCCAAAAGTTAGGAAATTAGATCCGGAAACGGAATTTCACATTGCAGAGACAAATTTCGAACATCGTGACAGGTAAAGGGGTAAAATAGGTAAGTATTTGTTGTTGTTGTTGTTGTGCATATGTGTTCTCTACATTTCAGTGTTCTCCTCAGTTTCCTCATCGACTTTTGGTAACATGAAAACCGGTGCGATTTGTGGCACGTGATCCTCTAATTTGAGGATCGGTTTGCAGTCTCTGGTAACGTCGACCTGATTAAAGGAATCCTTCAATATATTGATCTCGTTTTCATGAGCGAATATGTTAGTTGGTGCATCGTTAACGCATACATTTGTCTCATCCGTGCCATTTCTATGACACAGATTACCGGACGGAAATTGTCACGAGGTTAATGCAAACGGATCGGTTGATAATTCGTCAACGCTCGTGCTTGATTTAACCGGTTCTTGTTTATCATTTTGATGACAGAATCGATGTACTATCTCGTCGTGTAGAATATTGAAACACATTGCCGTCAATGCCATGCCGGACATTATGTAACAGGAGCAGAACCAAATCGTTGCATTTCGTGACGATGATAAGTTGTTGTTGTTGTTGTTGTTGCTGTTGTGTGGATAGGAACCGGGTACCATGTCACCAAATCCGATCGTACTTAAGCTCATGAAGCAGAAATAACTAGCGTCTGAAAAATCAATTACGATATTATTTTTAGGTTGGGGGTGCTAGGGGGTTAGTTAGTATCACGAGGAAACATTGTTTTGATATAGATGTTTTTTAAATTAATATTTGACGGGGGTTTTGTTTTACGATTAATAGAAATTATTTACAAAAAGTATCTCTCTTTTAATTGTTTAATATTTAAAAAAAAGATTAGCGAGTAAAATTCAGGGTGATTGAAATATGTGAATGATTTTATTTGATATGAAAATATTCAATCTTTGAAAATTGATAAATATTTTTAAATATTTTATATAAAGTTTTATATAATTTTTAATATACAATATTTTTTAATATTATTCATTAATTAAACAAATATATATTAGAGTAATTTTAACAAGGTATAAAAATATTGAACGTATGAATCTTACCAACGAAGCTCCAACCATCCAATTTGTGAAGAGTAAACGCTCCTGCAACGATGTAACATAGCATAGCTCCTAGACAAATACTTATGGGTGCAAGTATGGTAACATTTGGTCTATCTCCAGATCCAAGACTCGATACTTCATCCTTTGGACTAGTTTTGATTTCAACGGTACTCGTGAACGTCGATGAATTAGCACGCACGTAAAATGGTTCTTGCAATTGCAATTGTTGTTGTTGCTGTTGTTGGGCCAATTCTTCCTGTTGCCTCTTTCTTCGCATTCGTCTCTCTTTCTCCTAGGCGAATTGACGAAATAAAAAACTAAGAGAATACACGTATAATCTGAATAAATGTTTAACACTACGTATTTATTTATTTATTTATTTTTATTTTTTAAACGATTTATCGTAGGGGGTGCTTAGCCGAGAAAGAACGATTTTCCAAATCAGTGTATAGTCGAAAGAAAATAATCTATACCTTTTGGAAAAGTTCTTACTCTGAGCCATTTCGAGTTATCCGCTCGATTACTTTGTCGATAAATTCAAACGGTTAAACCCACCCCTATTTCAACAGATGGGACAGAACGTGGAGGTAAAATAAGAGGGGGGAATGAAATAAAATACAAACGGAGAAAATGAAAACAAAGTAAAAAAAAAAAGAAGAAAAATAAAGAAAAGCACATGAAGAAAAATATTCCTAGGGAAGTCAAGTTATTTTCTTCATCCATTTGATTCTTTCGAGTTTTCGGAAGGTGGGAGTGAAGAAGTAGGGGTGTGGGGTGAGGAGATGAGGAGGTGGGGTGGTTAAGAACCGTTACCGAAACCAATTTATCGCGTACGTGGTTCGTTTTGAAGAATTTAACAAGCATGCACTATAAAAGAGAAGAAGAAGAAGAAGAAAAGTGGTAATAGAGAGAAAAAAAAGAAATCAAGTATGGAAGGAAGAAAAGAAGAAAGAGTGAAATAAAAAGAGAGAAAGAGAGAGAGAAAAAGTAGACGCGTAGAGAGACATCCGCAAAGTACTCACCTGCATTCGTCTCTCGTCGTAGCAACAATAGCCGCAGTTCGAACAAAGGCAGCAACAAAGGGCCCGGGTAAAAACACCCCTGGCGCACCTGGACAACAGACCTCCGGCATTTGACAAGTAGACTATCGTCAAGGGTATACCTAGACTTGCGTAACCCATGGTCGCCAATTTACCCCACGTTGACTTTGGTGCTATACTACCACAACCTGAAAAATTACATTTTTTTTATTATTGCATTTCATATTTTATTCACATATTCTAACACAAATTTATTTTATTTTATATTTTATTATTTATATATTAAATAGATTAATTGATTTTATATATGAGAGTTATGGGGATTGCATTTTTGTTAACATACACATTTTTTATTCTTCGTTTTCTTTTTTTTGGGGGTTAAATAAGTACATTTATTCATTTGAATTATTGTAGTTTATTTGTTAATAGAAAAAAAATGTAATAATTGTTCGTTTAGTTATATTATTTTAGATATTACCATTATTATTATTCATTACGAGATGATGATGATGACGATGATAATAATAATCAATTGATTATCTCGAATGAGAAACGATGCTTTCAGATAGATAAGTTAGTTAATTTATATTATCATCATGTGAGTTATGGTAGTTACTTGAAAGCTAACGCACGATGCTGTTATGTTTATTCATGGTAATCAGGTCGTACGCGTAACGAGGAATTTAACCACATGTTACGTCATATATCCTACTACTCGTAAATTAGGTATACACACATACACACACACACACAATCATAATTCCTAACGTCGATGTCTTTGAATTATTCCTGATCATTACAACCATTATCGATCTAAATTTGATTATTCAATTATCTATCAATACGATGGAGATCATTATGACACACAACAGTACCATTCCTAACATCATCAACCATCTTAAATTATTCCAAAAATAATTTATCAAACTTAAACGATAAGAGAAAAAACTTAAGTAACATAAAAGAAAATCAAATGATCCAATAAATAATTTCCGACCATTTTTATGATTATCAATCAAGATTCTGTCCAATTCAGGTAACGGGATCCTAAGTGGTCTGTCTCGAACGTTGGTTCCGGTAAACCATAATGCAAAAAATATTTCCACGCGAAGTTTAAAGATGGAAAAGTGATGAAATGAAAAGAACAGAACGGTGAGAGTGGGTATAAAAATAGAGACCGAAAAAAAAGTCGGCTTACTAACACCATTCACCATAGAATGATGGGACCAGGGGCTGGAGGGGTAGGGAGGGGTTGGGGGGTGGAGGAGTTATGTGTGAGGTTAGTTTAAACGAGGGGTGGAGGTTTGGGGTAGAATCTGGTAAGCCAAAGAAAAGCTATCTGTCCAGATGGGTGAGTTGAACGCATCGATTGATCAACGCCGCTTAAGATAATGGATCGTCCATTGAAATTGCTCTGGACAGCGTATGATAGCACACACACTCTCTCTTTCTCTCTCTTTTTCTATTTTTCTATTTTTCTCTATCACTCTCACTTATTCTCTTTATTTCTCTATCTATATTTCTCTTTCTAGCATGTTGAGAGTGCACCATTGCTCGTGGTAGCCAGCCAACAACAGTTGAATCGGGGAACGAAGCCTATTCGTCACTGTCCTATCGCCTTATCGTCCTAGAAGGGCTGGCCCTTTTGCCGGCCATTATCTCTTACCATTTGTTTGTTCCACATCGAATCGTTGATCTGACTTTTATTGCTTCAAACCCACCCACATACCTACCTACCTACCTACCTACCGAAACTACACGATGCAAACGTTCAACTTTTTTACTGTTAGGGTCTTGTTAGATACTCGTGTAACGTTGATATCGTTTAATTTTATTTTTATTAGATCTTTTTCTTTGAAAATTATATTGGAATTGCATGTGTTTTGGAGATGAAGATAATTTTAAAAATGTATATATGATACATATACACGTTTTATAGATATAGATAATATGTTAGTGTTTAATTTTTCTAGTGTTAGGGTCTTGTTAGATATTCGTGTAACGTTGTGTGATATCCTACTGTTTTATTTTTATTAGATTTTTCTTTAAAAATTATATTGGTATCGTGTGTGTTTTGGAGATATAGATAATTTTAAAATGAATACGTTCAAATGAATTTGTTTTATTAAATAACAAATTATTTTATTTATAATATATTTTAAATGTAATGTAATATTTAATTTGATATGTTTTTAAATGAATTATATTATTTATATTAATCCTCATAACATAAATGTAATGTATAATATATTCGAAAAATAATCTAATCTAATTAATATTGTATTTAACAATTTTATAATAGTTTAAATATCACGTGTTCATATAGATGTTAAACGTGCTTAGAATATACTGATAACATCTCTATGTATTTGTTTTTAGGCGTATTCGAGGTGCTCAGGAGATCGTATACCGAGATGTAAACAAGACAACGTGTACCGATGACTCATTGTTCTTCCGTCAGTCTTCCGTTAGATTTCGGCGTGTTCACACGGTGAATGTAATGGGCAAGTAAATTTTTAATACATATTCGATTTCATTCTATATTTTTTATTGCATATCATATACACAGTTGTTTATCGTCATTCCAATAACCATATATCATGCATAAGATAAATCCTGCATTAACATTGTAAAACATAACCCCCCCTCCCCCTCCCTTCTAATTAATTCTCATTACATACTTTCACTTTTTATCATTATAAAATATAATAAGTATAAACAAATAATAATTAAACATTTTCTTTTTTCTTTTTCAGGTTTTTACAATACGTTTATAATATTGTTAACTTTTTATTGATTTCAGCGGAGAGAGAGAGAGAGTTCTACTTGATTTATAATATTGTTTTTTATTTCAGATTTTTAATATAAACATTCTTTCAGCTGTCTTTTTTTTATATATTTTGCAATCACGTGTGGTGTGATCAGTCGAGTCACGTCGCGGTGAGATCGCGATAAGTAAAAAACTTGTTTGTTTTTTTCTATTTCGTAAACGTTTGCACATCGTCATCCTAAGGGTAGGAGACCCCTCGTGCATTCATCATTGAAGACTAAAAGTAAGTATTATTTTTATTTCAAACGTTTCAACGATTATTTTTTAACAATATCAGGATGATATTAATAATCCTTTTTTATTCTTTATTTATGTTTCAGAATCTCATTGCAACGTGCGTGTGATGCAATGAAATACTCGTGTGTTGTATCGTTAAAATAAAATATTTAAAAAATCGCGAAGTAGAATCAGTGTTGTTCGCCGTATGTGAGTGTTTCGTTTTTTTTCGGGTAAAGAAACTCCGAAAGTTTCTTTTATTCGGTTTATACGTGTGCCATCGTCATCCTAAGGGTAGGAAACCCATCGTGCATTCATCAATGAAGATAAAAGGTAAATTAATTTTTATATTAAACATTTCTTTAATAATTATTTGTAATTTTTTAATGATATTTTTCTTTTTACTTTTCAGAAGAATAATGCAGTGTTAGTGTTTGATATTTTGACTGCGTGCAATGCAGTTTT